TTCCTCTGCATAAAAAGAAGGAAACTACTCAAGTGTTTGCAGCCTTAGGAAATCTGCTGGCTGATGAAAGCTGTACCTGCCACACTGAACCAGGACCTTGGTTCATTCTGATATGCACCTGAAATACCTCCATGGATAGTTTTCTGCCTTTGTTGGTGGGACGTTCAGAAGTGGTACAGGCTGGTGAAGCAAATGTTGCCCTACAGTGCTGTGCTGTGGCCAGATGGATGCACCAGTCCAATTCCTGGGTCTCTTCATTGTGATCTATTGCATGATTCGTGGCAGAATGGAGTCTCCTTCATTTCTCACTGACACAGTGCTGAATTGGGAGGCAACAGTGGCAGGACTGGGTTGAGAATGCAGGCCTCAGCAAGCTCTGCTCATTGTCTGCTTTTGATATAATTTTGCATTTGCATTGAGAAGGCAGCTTTCTTTTCTAATCACTGCCCACACAGGGCCCCTGTCCTGACTCCGTGCCTTTTCCCTTCACGCTGCCCAAACTGACAAGGAGTGGGCCCGTCAGGCAAGCTGCTCTCTGAGTTGTGTGCTACTCTGGTCACAGTCTCATTGAAAGCTGGATTGCTCGGAAGTGAGAAAGTCCAGCTTAGGAGAAAGCCAGCTCTTTGCTCAATCTCTTGTTATTTGGCAGGCTCGAACAATGCTAGATCCCACCTGCAGAGCATCCACATCTGGAAGGAAGGTGTGCCCCAGTGAAAAGATGTGCAAGGCTGTCATCTTGGCTGCGAAGAAACAAAAGCTCCAGGAGGCACCGCTGTCAGCAGCGGAGCGGATGCAGAGCCATGCAGCTGTCACACTCAGAGTGAAGTTCCCTATTCACTCACCTTCTGCCATCCGCTCTCATCAGGTTTCCAGCGATTTTCCCCTTCCTTCTTCCTGTCACTGACGAGCCCCTGGGAACATTAATGCCATATTCCTGTCATCCACATCGAATTGCTCCCTCACATGAATGGGAAGCACAGTTTTGAAGCAGGTTTAGTTGGACACTTCACCCGGCTAATTAGAAAAGCTTTGGGTTTTGTTTTGGCTTTTGTAGTTTCATTCTTTTTCTTCCCCAGAAAGCTGTTCTGAAATGATGAACCAATTCCCGCACCACCAGCAGAGTAATTATTTATGAATGTTCTGCAAAGACCAGAGTGTATCAAAAAATGCTTAAGTCAAACACTCACCCTCTGCACCACTCAGCTGTTCTCACTGAACTCTGGGCCATCACATTCAGAGAAGAGAATGCAGTCCTTATTAAAATAGGCTGCCTACCTAATTGCTTCCTCTGGGAAAAAACTCCCTTTCTTCAAAATCCTCATCTCCTTGGAAAAGAGCAGGCCAAAAATAACAATGTGTAACTATATATAAACACATACCTAGGTATTAAAATGACTATGATTAATGCATATGCGCTAGCATATGCCCACAGGCATTAGATAGAGAAAGGTATCTCAAGTGTCTTCTCCACAGTACGAGACAGTGTGCAGGACAGTGAGAGGGTTGTAGGTGGATCTCGCCAGGCCTCACAGAAATGATGGTTCAGTACCTAAATGCAAGGGAGAGATCCATGTAGCCGCTTCCTCTGGGTGCAGGGCGCTGATGGCCAGTGCCTGCCTTGCTGCCCCCTTCACTCTACTGCGGTGCCACAGATCCTCTCCCAGACTGAGATCCCATGTGTCAGCCCTTTGGCTGTGATGCAGGAGAGAGGCTGAGCTAAGGTAATTAGTAAAACTGCAGCCTTCCCCCTGCAGAGAGCATGGGCAGGGTTCACCTATGTGAGCTTTAGCGCTCCGCGCATGAGATTTGACAGGCTAGTAGTAGGCAGAGGGTAAATACGTGTGACAGGTCAGTTTACCATGAATCTCCGAGTACTATTGTCTGTTCTCTGCCCTTGGAGCTGTGTCTCTGGGGAGAGCTGAGTCTGCTGAGTGGTGAGTCCATCTCGAATGTTTATATCAGATCAAACACTCATGTATCCTAGATACCTGACGTAGCATGATCAGCGCCCTGCTAGTCATGTGGGACAGGATTTTGAATGTGGAGGGGATCACTGGCCCCCTAACTCTCTTCTTTTGTGCATTAAGTGCTAACAATAGAAGCTTCAGTATATGATGGGGATGTATGTTGTGAATCCATCACTGTTTTGTTATATGAATAGCAATTTTTTTACTTCCATTGACTATAGGTCTCTCCACTTTAGGACTTGATGCGGCTCCTCTTCTGGTGGTGGCATGCAACTTCTCCTCTGTCACTAAACAGAGAATGGGCACTACTCTAGCAGGGGCACTACAGCCATTTTTGGTCTCCCAATACATGTGATCTGCGAGAACAGTGTTTATCTCCTACAGTTCTAAGCCAGGTGAAAGACTGATTTCTTAAAAAAATCAAATATAACCCTTTAGTTAGGGAGAAGGTGTCAGCTCAGAGATTCCCCTTCAGAACTATGTGCCCCATAAGCCCTTCTTTGCTACCTTGTCCACTCACCAAATGGGAATTTCACTGGCCCAGTTCACAGCTGAGGCATTCGGTCAATATATGTTATATGAACATAAAGTAATAACATGAGACTGGCTACACCTTCTCAAGGCGGTGATCTGTCTACTGCAAATTCCTCCATTTGATATAGTGCAACCAATAGCAGGTATGGGGAACAAGTACAAGGACATACATCTGATGATACTTCTCCAGCATATTCCCCCAGCCGCCAGCAGTCTGATGTTCAGGGGTTTCCTGAGCCAGAAGCGGCAGCTGTGTGCTTGATGGATTTTTCTTCTATGAACTTGCCTACTTGAGCTAAACTCTGGACACACACATCCTCCTGTGTGAAGGACAGTATTCCACCACTTGACTATTCTTTGGATGAGGAAACGCCTTTCTTTACCTGCCTCCTGCTTATCTGAACCTGCCTCCTCTAGTTTCATTTGATGGCCCTTAGCTCTTATATTGGAGGAGAAAGTGAAAGACTTTTTTACCATTCACTACCTTCATATCATTCATGCCTTTAGTATCCCTGCTGTGTGCTTTCCCTTTTGCAGGAAAAGAGTCCCAGAAACATTTATCAACATTAAGTTTTATCTGCCGTTTTACTGCCCGGTCATTCATTATGTGAGTTCCCTCTGCAGCCCTTTGCATTTGGCTTTCATTTTATTATATCAATTAACTTGAACTTTCCAAGATGAAGAGTTAGTATATCCTGGAACCATAACTCATGTACACCACGAGGAAGAGTATTTCTGCCACATTGTAAAACTGCTTCAAAACAGGAGGTCTTGGGTCTGTTTTATGATGTCCCCAAGGAGAGTTTAATCTATAACTCTCCTCAGCAGAAATTCCTAAAGATTTCAGAAGCAGCCAGTTCCAGTTTGCTGACTGAGCCTCACACCTTAAAATAAAGAGGACCCACTCCTGCCAGCTGATGCCTTTGGAGGATGCGCGGGAAATTGGTTACAGTAACTGAGTGTATGCCCTGCTTTGCTGTAGTGTGGGGATCAATCCATGTGATGCACACAGGATCTCAGCTTACCCCAGTTTTCGGAGGAAAGAGTCTACTTTCTGCACTGCCACCAGTCCATGGAGTTTAAAGGTCTTAGAACAGACTGGTAGCAAAGGACAGCTGCTCATGAATTAGGCACAAAAACACAATTTTTGTCCTAGAATTTAGTTCCTATGTTATTTGGTTTATAGTGCTTGTGAGTCATCACAGCAGAAGGTGCATGCAGTTGTGAAGGTATATAAATAAAATGTTTATTAAAAATGGGACAGCTGCAGTTACGTGAGCCCTTGCTTCTCTCTGCTGTAGGCACATCCCTTACGCACCCAAAAGATGGGTGAGATGAACAAGGAGGTGAACGCTGAGCTGTGAATTCCTGAGCCATCCAGCCTGTTACTAATTACCATTATTAAATATTGACACAGTGACTGCACACAGAGCTCTCAGGCAGGGATCAGTACCCCTCTGTGGCAGCAACACAGAAACCCAGACAAAGAAATAACCCCCCAGAGCATGTACATGGCAAGGCCTCAATCCATCCTGCAATTAATGTCTCCTGGGGACTGCTAACGCGTGTGCAAGTTTACAAAAAAAGCTATAGCAGGGGGCTGGTGGAGGTCAGGAAGTTTCTGATCCAAACTTGCTGTCTTTGGGGTTCCCCTTGCTGCGGGCTGGTCTGCAGCGCTTAGCAGAGTGAGTGGGGTGGTGTTCGGGTTAAGCCAGGAGAGCAGGGGCAGCATAGTGGGATCTGCTTCCCAGCGACACAAAAGCTGCTACCTGGAAAACAAGTAGGGGTATTGCTGCCCTGACTGCCAATCCCAGGCCATCGTCGGGGAAGCTCTCAGACGGACCATATAGCCCCAGGTGGCTACCTTCCTGTGCGTCAGCCCAGGGCTGGAAAGCCTGGTGCCTGGGTCTCCCCTGCTCTCCCTCAGCCATCTTGTATCTTGCTCTTTCACAGTTCCCAGGTAAGAGATCAGGGCAAAAGCCTATATAAACATAACCTTAACATTGTCCCTACTCAGGAAACCATTTAATCATATGCCTTAAGCATGTGCTGTACAAGGATGCTGGCACAGGACTCACTGGCACAGGAAGATTTTGCCCAAGGAGGAATTACCACCTCAGGGTGGGAGGCTATGGAGGCTGTGGCCCTTCCTCACTTCCCCTCCTGTTTCCTAACACTGCTGGTTGCTGGGCTGGGCTGTGTGCCAGGGGAGCAGATGCGCAACTGCATGGCTTTTCCTCCTCATATCATGGCTGTGTCCAGCACTGATTTTGCCCATGGTCATCTTTTAATGCAGCGGCTGACTTGGCCGTGCCTGTGAGGGTGACTGAGTCACCTGTGAGGGTGACTGAGCACTGGACCAGGTTGCCCAGAGAGGTTGTGAAGTCTCCTTCGCTGGAGATAGTCAAAACCCGTCTGGACGCGGTCCTGGGAAATATGCTCTAGAGGACCCTCCTTGAGCAGGGAGGTTGGACTAGATGATCTCCAGAGGTCCCTTCCAAACTAAACCATTTGTGATTCTGTAAAAAAAAAAAAGTGATCCACTGCATTTGCAGTGTCCCAAGCCAGCTGCAGCCCTGAGATCCCTCTTCTCTGGAAACCTGAAGCAGTATTTGCGAAGCCTTCTTATATCCAGTCTGTCTGCCGGCCAAAACCCAATTCCTTCTTTAGCTAATCTTCCCTCTTTGTCTCTCCAGATAATACTGGACAGCTAAAAAAGCTAGGATGAGTCTGCACCAGTCTAGCACTCTTTAAGCAGCAGAATGATCATGTTTTCAGTTCTGAACCCCCACCCATGCTAAGCTTTTTCATGAATGCTCCTTCTTACCTGTGTTAAGTGAAGAAGAGCCACAACCTGAGGCTCTAACAAGCCTCTGCTTTGTGGGTGAGCTTTGTTGTCCAGATGTCAGGCAGGACAGTGCTTTTCCAGGACAATCCTTCGATTTCAAAAGTCGATGAAAAAAGAGGTATCCTCTGAGACTACATTTTCAGGAAAACACCTCAGAAGCCAGATTGCATATTAGTGCACATGGTTGCAAGGCACCAGTTTCTCTGTCGCCCCCGGCTATGTGCTGCAGCTCCACAGCAGCTTTGCCCCTACATGCAGCGGTGCAAAGAGCTGCAGCTGTGGCAGCTGAGGGGAGGCCAGACAGGAGCACCCTGGCTCCTGCTTCCCTCCTCACTCCCCCAAGACCGGTCAGGATGGGGAGAGTGAAGAAGACATGCTGCAGCCCTTTTCCCCATGGGAAGCAGCCTTGCCTGGCAGGTCAGAAACTGCAAAGACTGAGGGAGGCAAGGAGCTACAGATGGACTCAGGTACCTGCTTGTAGTGATTTTTTATTCCCTTTTATTCTTTGTAACTTGTGCTGGAGATAACCCATGCTAGGAATTAGTATCATCCCTTACTCCCCTCTAACGCACTCACTGTAAGTCCTTATTTGGGATGGAGAGAGGAGAAGACAGGACACAATGTATTTATTACATATCCTAGACATAATCAACAAGCTGTTAATTATCAGGCTGTAGCATATACAGCTAAGGCATACATGGCTTATATTGGAAGATGTTCTTTAAACAAAATATCAAGGATGATACTCCTTTGGCTTCTGGTTTGCCTACACTTCAGTGTGAGCCTGGTACATGTCCAGTTAACTGAAGCTGAGCTGATTCTCCTCTGGAGAAACTCAGATATCCCTAGGTTTGTGGGTGCATTAGGTGGGAGACCAGGGCAGTGAGTCCCGGTCTCCTCTGGCTCAGACTTGTCCTGTGGCTTCAGGTGAGCTCCTCAAGCTGAGGGTTTCACTCTAACTCTTCCTTAGACTTCACATATCTGACCTGATTTTTCTTCTTTTTTTGTCATCCAAGAGCTGCTCAGTGGCCGGCAGTGGGAGAAGAGCCAGCCCTGGCTCTCTTATTCTCTTATTCAGTGTGAGTGGTGGGGACGGCAATGGGGGAATGTGTGTCAGAGAGGGGAACTGTAACTTCCCTTTGCCCTATTTTCTCAAGATCCCTTTCTGATCTTGAAACAACCAAAGGGAGCTTAAACTCCATTCTTGCGTTTTCAACAGTATCTTAATATTCATTGAGTCACACAGCTGTGAATACAAGTACTTGTGTATTTGTTGCTGTTCATTTACAACCTCATCCTGCAATTGGGGATGGATTTGGAACAGATATCCACGTCCAGAAACAAACATCAGTGAAGCGTTTGCAGGAGAACTGACAGGCAGTCATCTTAAGCGGTTGCTTGATGTGTATTTCCCTCAGCAGTAGCTTCTTCCCTTTCTATTCATTGCAGCTTAGAAGCACCCTCTTGCTCTTCCATCACACTTGCGGGCCAAAAGGTGAACCAGCCTGGAGAGCCAACCTGGCTTACAAATTTGGTGGAACCTTGGGTGCATGTAGGGTCGGTTTTAAGGCAGATCAGGTCCCTACTCCTGTTTGCTGTGGACCCTGACAAACAGTTATACTGGCACAACTGAGAGAGCACGGCTGGAGCCAAACGAACAGCCGAAATGGAGGATGAAGTCCTGCTTGAGCTAGACTGCCTCCAAAAATGTGTGTCTCCTCTAGTTAATGCTATAGTCTGCTATAGTCTGTTCGTGTTGTTGCTGCTACTGTGCGCGCAGGGGCTGCATACTGCATGCATTCTTAAAAAAATTATGTTGGCAGTACGGTGGGATATGCACTATAAATACTGAAAAATAATAACTGCTAATACATCTACTGAAGAGCTGAACGTACAACAGAGAAGGCAGCAGTTCAAATGATAGTCCCAGATCTTGCTGCTATTTGATACTTGATTATTCTTTTCCCTAGTTCCTATTTTCTCTTGCTTTATTTCCATTTCATTTATTAAAATATATAACAAAGAACCTCTACCTTATTTATGTAAATCTGTAGCCAGAACTTCAGTTATTGAAAGGATAGCATGGGTTTAAGCACAACTGATTTGAATTTTCTGATGAAATGCACCCAGTTTTTAATCTCTACTTGACCATAGCTAAATACCTCTACAAAGCAAATACTTATTATCCATCTGAATTTTTCAACCTTCTTTCAAATCAACTTGCTGTTCCATTTTCTAGTGTACAGACCTTGAATATTTCAATTTTAATACTGCATCCCACATGCTGATAACTGCATGCCTACCACAGGGG